TGTGGTCGCCCCGGCCTCCTCCTCCTCCCCCCTCCTCCCTTCCTCCTCTCATGTTTCCTGTGTTCCCCTCTCCTCTTCTCTCGTGCCGTCGGGCTGCGATCTGCGCCATTGTCGCCATTTTCGTGGGCTCCTGGGAGGCCCAGCGGAGGTACGCCCAACGCAGATCACCTCGGCACCTCGCGGCGCCCTGGGGGGCTGCGATCTGCGCCATTGTCGCCACTTTCGTGGGCTCCTGGGAGGCCCAGCGGAGGTACGCCCAACGCGGATCACCTCGGGACCTCGCGGCGCCCTGGGGGGCTGCGATCTGCGCCACTGTCGCCACTTTCGTGGGCTCCTGGGAGGCCCAGCGGAGGTACGCCCAACGCGGATCACCTCGGGACCTCGCGGCGCCCTGGTGGGCTGCGACCCTCTCTTCGCCGCCAATTTGGGGGGCTCCTGGAGGCCCGCGAGGTACGCCAACGCGGATCACCTCGGGACTCGCGGCGCCCTGGGGGGGCTGCGATCTGCGCAATTGTCGCGCCTTTCGTGGTCCTCCTGGGGGCCCAGCGGGAGGTACTCCCAACGCGGTGAATGCACTCGGGCCGGGTCGGGGGGGCAGCGATCTGCGCCATTGTCGCCACTTTCGTGGGCTCCTGGGAGGCCCAGCGGAGGTACGTCCAACGCGGATCACCTTGGGACCTCGCGGCGCCTTGGTGGGCTGCGATCTGTGCAATTGTCGCCACTTTCGTGGGCTCCTGGGAGGCCCAGCGGAGGTGCGACCAACGCGGATCACCTCGGGACCTCGCGGCGCTCTGGGGGGCTGCGATCTGCGCCATTGTCGCCTCTTTCGTGAGCTCCTGGGAGGCCCAGCGGAGGTACGACCAACGCGGATCACCTTGGGACCTCGCGGCGCCTTGGTGGGCTGCGATCTGTGCAATTGTCGCCACTTTCGTGGGCTCCTGGGAGGCCCAGCGGAGGTGCGTCCAACGCGGATCACCTCGGGACCTCGCGGCGCGGCGATCTGCGCAAATTTCGCCACTTGTTGGCGGGATCCTGGGAGGCCCAGCGGAGGTACGCCCGCGCGTATCACCCTCGTGGCCTCGCGGCGACCTGGGGCTGCGATCTGCGCTTGTCGCCCACTTTCTTGGCTCCTTGTAGGCCCATCGTAGGTACTCCAAACGCGGATCACGATCCACCTCGGGACCTCGCGCGCTTGGGGGGCTGCGATCCTTGCGCAATTGTCGCCATGTTCGTGGCTCCTGGTTGGAGGCCCAGCGAGGAACGCCGAACTCGGATCACCTCGGGACCTCGCGGCGCCCTTGGTGGCTGCGATCTGCGCCTTGTCGCCTGTTTTCTGGGCTCCTGGGGAGGCTCCAGTCGAGGTACGTCGCCCAACGCGCCCTGAGGGTGCTGGATCTGCGCATTGTCGCCTCTTTCGTGGGCTCCTGGGAGGCCCGCCCAACGCGGATCACCTCGGGATCTCGCGGCGCCTTGGGGGGTTGCGATCTGCGCCATTGTCGCCACTTTCGTGGGCTCCTGGGAGGCCCAGCGGAGGTACGCCCAACGCGGCTCACCTCGGGACCTCGCGGCGCCTGGGGGGCTGCGATCTGCGTAAATGTTGCCACTTTCGTTGGCTCCTGGGAGGCCCAGCGGAGGTACGCCCAACGCGGACCACCTCGGGACCTCGCGGCGCCCTGGGGGGTTGCGATCTGCGCAATTGTCGCCTTTTTCGTTGGCTTTTGGGAGGCCCAACGAAGGTACGCCCAACGCGGATCACCTCGGGACCTCGCGGTGCCCTGGGGGGCTGCGATCTGCGCAATTGCCGCCAGTTTCGTGGGCTCCTGGGAGGCCCAGCGGAGGTACGCCCAACGCGGATCACCTCGGGACCTCGCGGCGCCCTGGGGTGGTTGCGATCTGCACAATTGTCGCCACTTTCGTGGGCTCCTAGGAGGCCCAGCGGAGGTACGCCCAACGCGGATCACCTCGGGACTTCGCGGCGTCTTGGGGGGTTGCGATCTGCGCAATTGTCGCCACTTTCTTTGGCTCCTGGGAGGCCCAGCGGAGGTACGTGAGCCCAACGGCGGCCCCTGGGGTTGCGATCTGCGCCATTGTCGCCACGTTGTGCCTCCTGGATGCCCCAGCGGAGGTACGCCCAACGCGGATCAACCTCGGACCCGTCGCGGCGCCCTGGGGGTTGCGATCTGCGTCATTGTCGCAACTTTCGTCGGCTCCTGGGAGGCCCAGCGGAGGTACGTCCAACGCGGATCACCTCGGGACCTCGCGGCGCCTTGGGGGGCTGCGACCTGCGCCACCGTCGCCGCTTTCGTGGGCTCCTGGGAGGCCCAGCGGAGGTACGCCCAACGCTGATCACCTCGGGACCTCGCGGCGCCCTGGGGGGCTGCGATCTGCGCATTGTCGCCACTTTCGTGGGCTCCTGGGAGGCCCAGCGGAGGTACGTCCAACGCGGATCACCTCGGGACCTCGCGGCGCCCTGGGGGGCTGCGATCTGCGCCATTGTCGCCACTTTCGTGGGCTCCTGGGAGGCCCAGCGGAAGTACGTCCAACGCGGATCACCTCGGGACCTCGCGGCGCCCTGGGGGGCTGCGATCTGCGCCATTGTCGCCACTTTCGCTGGCTCCTG